AAAAACTGGTCACCAATTATATAGCGCCCAAAATATAAGCAAAGAGTCAAATGTGTCAAACCGTACAATCGGTTTAACGAACCGCTGGTCAGTAAAATATCGGTTAAATTTTCGCCAAATTTGGTCCAACAATTTAATGATAATCGTCTCAATTGTGGTGACATGTGGTCATTGATTGTGGTAAATATGCGCTCAATTGTCAACTTATTTGTCTGCTTTGATGAATAGTCTAATGCCTTTAGTTGGCGACAGTTGCGGCTAATTGTCGAAAATAAATCGCCAGTAAAATCGGTACTAAAACTTTTTGATAAAACAATCTTCAATTGTCTTAATTGTTTCATAAGAGCTAAACCGGTTATCAATGAGCGATAATTATTTTCATTATCATTATCATAATTAGTATTCACATCTAATGATTTCAATTGTTGGCCATAAATGTCGGCAAATACAGTAAATGATTGGATCGACCAGTCGTCCATTGTTAGTGATATTGATTTCAACGATTTCTGTAAAACAAAATACAATAACATATTGGCTGTAAATATATCAGATAATTTGATACTATTTAAGCCATCTCTAGTGATGTCCAGTGTCTTCAATTTAGGTAAACATTTAAAACATTTATAAACCAATTGATTAATATTATAAAAATATTGACAATAGTTGCCGTCAAACTTGAATGTTACCAACTGTTGGCCAAATTTTTCAAAAAACCAGTCAAATTGGTGACCACTAGTTATCCATTCGACAGTAATTATAAATTTTAGATATATGTGTCTCAATCGTGGAAAGTATGTTATTATTATATTTAAATAATTTTTCGAAAAATGTATATCACTTATAATAATTGTTGTAATGTTTCGGCAATTTTTAGCAATCAATTCAAACAAACCGATAGTTTGTTTGTATTTCAAAATTGAATCCAAAGATAACCTCTTCAATAGTTTGTCATCAAATACCAGTTGTGTTTCCGTATTGAATATCAATGTCAACCACTGTTTGGACACCGATTGTAGTCTTAATTTGTCATCAATCGGCAGATAAGTTAGCAATAGTTCCGCCAAATCATCGCCGAAGCGATCGAACGAGTCGTTTGCTGCCATAGTCTTCAGTTTATCTTTACTTTCAATAAATTTTATACTAATTTTAAAAAAAAAATTATAGAAACCGTTAATAAAATTATTATTATTATTATATTTTTGAAAAACTAAATTTATTAATTAATTCTTTATTTATTTTTCATTAGATTATTATTATTAGATAGTTTTTAAGGTAATTATCAGTCGATAAACACATGTACTGAATATGTACTGTATATAATAAAAGTTATTATTGATATATTTATATGACTTTCATTTAGTATATAAATTATAATTGGTTTAATACTACAAATGGATTGACCCATAAATAGGTGGACAGGTTTTATATAAATGGTAATAAATTATTATTATTAATAAATGTATTAATAAAGTATAGTTAAGTTAAATATTTTATAGTCTATATATAGTCTATAATTACTGTTCAATAAATATCTATAACTATAACTTAGACATAGAATTATAAGTATTGATTTGAACTTTTAATCTATATATATATATTAGAGCTAGGCGTTTGAGGCGATTAACATATAAATACTTAATTAAATAAATACAGATAAATGGATTAATATATATACAAACATTTTATATAAAATGTACAAAATACAAAATAAATTTTTAATTAATATGTTTGAACTTATAATTAATATAATTTAAAATGCAGTATAATAGTAATAGTAATAGTAATAGTAATAGTAATAGTAATAGTAATAGTAATAGTAATAGTAATAGTAATAGTAATAGTAATAGTAATAGTAATAGTAATAGTAATAGTAATAGTAATAGTAATAGTAATAGTAATAGTAATAGTAATAGTAATAGTAATAGTAATAGTAATAGTAATAGTAATAGTAATAGTAATAGTAATAGTAATAGTAATAGTAACAGTAATATATATATAAAAATAGATAATTAGTATTTGGATATTTTGGAAATTTTAAATAATAAATATTTAAATACAGTTATTATTGAGCATTTTAAATGCACAAAAATTTATAACATATGATACTATAATATAGAAAATATGATATATAAAAACAGTGTTGGCAGAGACAAAAAATTTGTATAATACATGCAGTAAATTGTATTTTACTGTATTATATAAAGTCAGAATTCAAAACCTTGTATTTTTCCAATCCTGGATTAAATGTTTGTATATGATTGACATTAATAATAATAATAATACTAAGCTTTTGATAATTACGCTTATGATAAAATGTTTTAATAATAATTTTGTTTTTTTTTGACATTACATAACTCATTACTTTTATTACAATGTAAATTAAATTTTTTCAAAGAGTATATAATATTTTTTAATTAAATTTTTTAAGTCAATAATAATAGTTTAGTGTGTATTATTTTTTTTTTGAAGGTATAGATACTTAACTTAAACACCTGTTTGATTAGCCTAATGAGTGATATTGTATACGGGTTTCAATAGACAGGTGTGTGTGCTATGAATATGTGATTAATAAAGACAAACACATTAAGTATATGTGCGATGAAAGTGATCGACATTTCAAACAATTATTATTGTGTGAAGACATTCAAACAAACAACACATTTGAATATGAATTTAATTATATTATTACTAAACACTCTATTAATAATAAAAACTTATTACACTATTAAATCAAATTAAAACAATTTTTAGTATAACAAAACTTTTTAGTATAAAATAAATAATATAAAACAGGTTTTAGGATTAAAATTATTATTATTATTAAAGTTTTTGATATCCGTTTCAATAGACAGGTGTGTGTGCTTTGAATGTGTGATAAAAAAAAGACAAACATATTAGATGTGCGATGAAAGTGATCGCCATTTCAAACAATAATTATTGTGTGAAAACATTCAAACAAACAACACATTTGAATATGAATTTAAATCAATTAATTCATTTGAAATCAACGGCAAATAGTTTACAACAAATTAGTGATAAATTTCGTGAAATATGTAAACAAATTGAATGCGAAGTAAATATTATAACAAATGATTGCAATAATTCATTAAAAATTATTGATAACAACTCTTATGAAGACAACAACAAGCGATACATTTGTTTTTGGCCTAAATGTCGGTATAATAGTAAATCTAAAACAAATTTAAAATTACATCAATTGAATCATTCATCTGACAAACAATTAAAATGTGATTTCAATGATTGCAATCAGATATTTTTCAGTAAAACTACTTTACAATCGCATAAAAATGCTAAACATTTGAATATTAATTATATCTGTAATATCGATAATTGTGACAAAACTTTTAGTTTAAATTATATCTTATTTATACATAAATCTAGTGTTCATTATAATAAGCGTTCAATTATTTGCTATTATCCTAATTGTCACAAAAAATTTGCAAATAAATGTAATCTGAAAATACATATATCGACTGTACATCTAAAGGTCAGACCATTTAAATGTGATGTCGAGTATTGCGTGAAAACATTTTCACAAAAAACAACTCTAGTTAGACATAAATTAATACATTTGTCTAAAAACCGATCTAAAAATCATTGTTTACGACAACACATATCAACTGATGATTCAATTGAAACAAAATTTAAATGTGATTTCAGTAATTGTAACAAACTTTACTCCTCATTGAAGAGTATGATTAATCACAAACGTATTGTGCATTTAAAAATAAAGTTACATAAATGTGATGTCGACGGCTGTAACAAACAATTTTCATCAATAATTGATTATCGACGACATAATAATAATACACATAATGGCATCAAATTATTTAAATGTGATTTTAAGGATTGTAACAAAAGTTTGTCATCAAAACGTTGTCTCAATTATCATAAACATCGCTTTCATTCAATACTTTAATTTTTTTGAGTATGTTTTTTTATAAACAATTAAAAATATATTTAAATTATACCGATTTATTATTATATACTATATATTGAATTTTTGAATCAAATTCAGATGTGATTACAAAGATTGCAATAAATGTTTTGCTACATTAAATGATATTTATGAACTATAATAAACGTGTTGTGCATTTATAAAAAATAATGCTATTCTAAATGTGATGACGACGGCTGTAACAAACAATTTGCTACGAAAGTATTATATTCTACTATTATAATATAAAAATTATTAAATTAGTATTACATTGAGTGTAACAAACAGTTTTCATTGAATATATTGATAATTTAATTTTTAAATTTATTAAAAACACACACACAATATTAATAAATATAGATTACATTGTAAATATTTTTTTTTTTAAATAACATATATTAACTTATTAAAAAATATATTAATTAGTTAGCATATTAATTTAATGTAAATATTATTAGTCAAATAAAATATATTCATGAATTATTTATAATTTTATTTTTGTACATAAATTGTTTTTTTAAGTAATTAATAGATTTATTATAACAATAATTATGTTTAATTTTTTTTAATTAAATTAATAGACGGCAATAATGTATGTATAAACATGTTTGCTATATATGTTTGTTAGAGATGTGTAATTCGTGACATTTTTTATATATATTTCTATTAAACTGACCCGAAGATTAAAAAATTAAAACTAAATCAATTATCTAACTTTAAAAAATCAAATTACAATATAATATATTTATCTAAAATAAAGTTTAACTTTTAAAATTGATATTAAAACTAAAAAAAAATTAATTTTTAAATCATAACTAGAATTTTTTTAAAAACCGGAAGCGAAACAATACCCGTTTTCTACTCTATTATACACTATATGTTAGTATTAATAGTAAAACTTTTGCGTCAATAGTACACTACTGTTGACTTGTGTTTTGTTTATTGTTTGCACAAAAAATAGAGAATTAATTAATTAAATGTATTTATTAATTATATTAATTTAATTAATAATACTGTTATTTACTTTATATATGTTAATAATTAACAATCATTTTGTTTTAAATAATTATTGCTAAAATGTAAGTAAATTTTTACTAATTATCCTATTTTTAAATATCATTATATGATATCTTAATTCAAACATTTATACTATTATTATACTGTAGTTTCAAGTTTTTGATTGATTGACACAAATAAAAGCAAAATCTACTGAAAGATATGAATAAATACATGTAAGTGAAGATCACTGAAGATAATGACAACGACAACAATGATGTCCGCGAAGAACTCGTTTGATCGCTTCGGCGATGATTTGTGTCAACTATTGTTGACATATCTGGCAATTGATGACAGATTAAGACTACAGTCGGTGTCCAAACAGTGGTTGGCATTGATATTCAATACACAAACACATCTCGTAATTGATAAAAATCTATTGAAAAGATTGTCTTTGGACTCAATTCGTGACTATTATCAGACAATTAAGTTATTTCAAGTAATTGTCCGAAAGTGTCCGAACATTACCGCAATTATCTTAAGTAAAGTCTATTTGTTGGACCGTTTTCTTGACTTATTAGTAAAATATTGTTACCGATTGCGACACATCAATGTTAGACTTGATTACGACGGCCACTGGTCGGTCATCGACGTCCGTATGTTTGATTGTTTTTTCCGAAAATTTGGCCAACAATTGCTAACATTTAAGTTTGACAGTTATAATACAACTATTACTAAGAAATTGTTTTACAAAGTGATCGACAGTATGCCTAACCTGAAGAAACTGGACATCACTTATAATAGTAGACGAAAAAGTATTATCCAATTGAATGACTTAATTGTCGGCGATATGAGCTATGATTTGCCGAAATCGTTGGACTCGTTGAACATAAAACTGAACAACTCATCCGTACCATTGTTTAGCCGGTTTGCCGATATTTATGGCCACAAATTGACATCATTGACAATAGTCTCGGATATCAAGATTGCCGATCAAGATTTGACCGTTAATTGCAAGACATTGATTGAAGGGTTAGCTCAAATGTTGCGATTAAAACATCTAAAACTTGTTTTATTGGAACAATTAGTCGACAATTTTGTAGGCCATTTATTTTCGACAATCGGCCGCAACTGTCGGCAACTTAAGGCATTGGATTGTATGTTAAAAATTTCATCCAAACTGACAATTGAGTGCATGTTTGACTCAATCAACAAACATATGTCCAGACAATTGAAACTGTTGTCAATAAATTTTTGGCCAAATTATGACAATCAATATTTGACATTATTGTTAACCAGCGATCTGTTTAACCGATTGCTTGGATTAACACATTTGAGACTATGTTCGGACAAAAAGTTTCGTATAATTGGTGACCAGTTTTTCCGTGATATTAATCGTAATCTTCCGCGACTACAGTATATATGCTGTGATAGAGTATTCATTACCGAGGAGTCAATCAAATCAATGGGACAGTTGGCTCATCTGACGGATGTCTATATCCGATGCGATACAAACACATTGCAAACAAGTGAATCATTTATTAAACAACATTTACTGATTGATAGTAATGTAAAATATTTGTATATTAATAATTCAAAACATGTTTATATATTTAAGGACTCGAAATACAATACTAGACATTATATTCATATATAATAATATTAAGCAACAATTTATAAATTTTTAATTAATTTTTTTTACAATAATTGTCACAAAAATTTAAAGTTTTTAAAAATTTGTTTTGTGTTAAACACATATTAAGTTATAGTAAAGTACTGTATAGTACTGGCTATTAAATTATTGTTATTAACTGTATTTGATTATAACGTTTGTACATATAATTCAATTTGTAGAGATATAATCTCATTTTTTTATAAAAAAAAAATAATAATTATTTATTAATAAATCTGACTATAATAATTAGATTTAATTTAATATTATAGATAATAAAATAGCAAAAATTAATTATACTATATATAGATATATATATTGATACAGTATATATATGATATAAACAGGTTTTCAGGATTATAAAAGTAAATATAATTTTAATATAAGTTTTATATCTAATACTGTTTGGTATGCTTTGAATGTGTGACTATTTCTGATTTTAATTGATTCAATACTATTGACAACACTTTTTATTGTTTAGTATTGAAAAAAAACGTGGTTTTAATTATTAAATTAATTAACAATTAATTACTGGTTTAGTGTATATTAATATTGGATTAAATTTTAGTTTTGTATTTCATATGATTGTAGTTAACAATCATTTTGTTTTTTATTGTTTCGATATTTAATTGAATTGATTGCCATATATTTTGTATACAATTATAGCCAAAATGTAAGTCAATTTAATTTAGTATAAACTTTTAATATCATATATGATATCTGATTAATATATTTATACTATAATTATTATACTGTAGTTTAGGTTTAAATTGATTGTAAAGATCACTGAAAACAACGACAACAACATTGATGTCAATGGCGAAGAAGGACTCGTTTGATCGCTTCGGAGATGATTTGGCGGAACTATTGCTTCAATATCTGCCAATCGATGACAAACTAAGACTACAATCGGTGTCCAAACAGTGGTTGGCATTGATATTCAATACACAAACTGATCTCATATTTAATAGAAAACTATTGGAAACAATGTCTTTGAATTCAACAATTCGTGACAACAATTGGATAATTAGATTGTTTGAAGTGATTGTCCGGAAGTGTCCGAACATTACTGCAGTTATCATAAGTTATGGGTAAGTGTTTTGAACTATTATTTTATTGATGAAAATAATTTTTATTATTAAAATATTGTTCAAATATTTTATAGTTAACACTTCCCGGTGCTGTCTATATGATAATACATTGCATGAATTTATTAATGAAAAACTGTCACCGATTGCGACACATCTCTATTACACTTGATTACGACGACCACTGGTCGGTCATCGACCGTACGTTTGAACGATTTTTCTGTCAATTTGGCCGACAATTGTTGACATTCAAGTTTATTAGCTATAGTCAGAGATTTAATAGACTATTATTTTATAAACTGGTCGACAGTATACCTAACTTGAAAACACTGGTTATCCCTACTGTCCGATTAAATGACATATTCATTGGTAATAATAATAATAATAATATGTATTATTTGTTACCAAAATCGCTGCAATCATTGAACATAACACTGAATATCTCGACAATGACTTTGTTCGGTAATTTTTGCAAAATTTTTGGCCAACAATTGACATCATTGACGATAATTTTTGAACCATTGATGATCGATGAACACTACTATTACCGTTTTTAACCACTTAATTAGACATATCAATTTTAAAAATTAATTAAAAGTGTCAAAAAGGTATGGAACTAATTATCACTAAACCTGCCATACCATGGCAGATAATGCGATAACTAAAGTAGTCGAATGGCAGTAAATGTGATAACTGGTATCTACACAATTATAAGTGTTTTAAATATCTAAATTTAGTTATAATTAATTAAATATATGATCGATCAATTAATAAATAAATAATTTAATATCCTAGGATCGATCAATACTGTAAAATTAATAATCAAATAAATAATAAATTAAATTAGTATTAATAATGCATAAATAATAGCATTAAATAATGAAAAAAATCATGAGTGGAATGAATTTGATAGATAATAAAAACTTATAACATGACTGGGATTTTGTGCCATCAAATTAAGCAAATTCCAGGGAAACAATTACCACTAAACCTGCCACTTATCGCATTATCTGCCAATGGAAAGGCGTGTGCGCAACAACGGTACTCTAAATGGAAGAAATGTCATCTGAAACCATTATCGGCCGGTTTTGAACAAATGTCGCGATTAAAACAACTTAAATTTGAATTGACGTACGATTTCGACATTACCGGTAATATTAGCGGCGATTTATTTGAGACAATTGGCCGCCACTGTCGCCAACTTAAAGCATTAGACTATCACTTAGAAATTTCAAATGCAGAAACAATTGGCCGTATTTTTGTCGCAATCAACAAACATATGTCCAAACAATTGAGACGATTATCAGTGATTTGTATAAATTATTTTAGCATTTCAAAGACAAACAGTTTATTAAACCGATTGAACGGATTAACACATTTGACAATTAAATTAAATAACAATAATCTAATCGATGATAAGTTTTTCCGTGATATTCATCTCAATCTTCCGCGACTACAGTATATAGACTGTGATTGTCTGTTCATTACTGAAGAGTCGATCCAATCTATGGGACAGTTGGCACACCTGACGGATGTCTATCTCAGGTGTGGTTTTAAAAAACTAACAATAAATGAATCATTTATTTCCAATCATTTACTAAATGGTACTAAAGTTAAACACTTGTCTATTAAATACAATGATTTAACATTAGATAATCAAGAATTTAAATTTGGAAAATATATTAATAATATAATTAAATAGTGATTGGGATTATGATTATGATTGCGAATAGACATAGAAATTAGAGTTAGAAATAATATATATATATATTTAAATTATATTACAATTAATTAATTTACATGAATTTATATCTATAGAAATTTTTTTATTACAATACAGTATAGCAATAGTTTTATTATTACAAAAATATATATAATATGAAAACTGATTTTTGGATTAAAAAATAAAAGTTAATTTTGATATCCGTTTCAATAGACAGGTGTGTGGTTTGTATTATAAAATTGAAATATATTTGAATTATGAAAATAAATATTATAAACGGGTTTTTTTTATTAAAAATCAATGTTAACTATTGTAATATCCATTTCAATATATGCTTTGAATGTATGATATAAAAGACAAACAAATTATTAAAATTGCATTTAAAAATAAATAAAAATAAAATGTGAAGTAAACGGTTGTAACAAACAATTTACCTCAAAAGCTGATTATATTAGACGACATAATAATACAAACATAATGGCATCAAATTATTTAAATTTGATGTCAATGATTGTAATAAAAGTTTGTCATCAAAATATAGTCTCGATTATCACAAATTTTAAATTAATTATTAAACGCTAATTATTGTTTTTTAATAAAATAAAATATACCGTAATTATCATTTGAATGTAAATATTGTTTAAATTATTGATTAACATTTATTTTAGTATTAAATAGTTATTTTAAATTAATAAAAATAAATAATTTATGTGCAAATATTATATATGTTTTTGTTTTATTAATTAAACAATCTAATATAAATATCTTAAATAATTAATACAATCAATATACGAAATTATAAATGTATGAATTAATATTATAATAACATTTTATGGATAATTAAAAAAATATATATCATAATCACTGACACTATCATTACTATTACTAATATTATTCATAAATATTATAATTCAGATATTTTCCGCATTTAAATACTTGTGTTCCCATTAAATCCGTGTAATTAATATACAAATGTCTAACTTTACTATCAATTAGTAAATGTCGTGAAATAACTGATTCACTTGTTTTCAGTTTGTTTGGTTCGCACCGTAGGATAACATCCATCAGTTTAGTCAACTGTCCCATTGATTGGATCGACTCCTCAGTGATGGACGCGCTGTCACAGTGTATAGACTGTAGTCGCGGAAGATTGCGATGAATGTCACGGAAAAACTGGTCACCAAATATCCAACAACGGTCTAACTCTAGCGTCAAATGTATCAATCGGTGTAATTGGTTAACCAAACTGTTGGTCAGTATTATATTTGTGTCATATTTAGGATAACATTTCACTGATATTCGTCTCAATTTTGAAGACATATGTTCATTGATTGTGGCAAACATGCGCTCAATTCCTACTATTGTTAAACTATTTGATGAATAATGCAATGTCTTTAGTTGTCGACAGTTTTGGCCAATTGTTTTGAATAAATCTCTGATAAAATCGTTAGTAAAATCGTTTAACAAAACAATTTTCAATTGACATAATCCTAGCATTTGTTGTCCAAAACAGTCAATCAATGGCCGAAAAATATCTTCATTATTACCTAACAATCTATTCACCGATATGTCCAACGATGTCAACTGTTGGCCATAATTGTCGGCAAACTTTCTAAACAATTCAATTGATCTATAGTTTAGACTAATAGTCATTGATTGCAACGATTTCGGTAAAACTAAACACTTATCGGCAGTTAATATATCAGTCAATAGTATACTATAAGTCTTATAGTTTTTGATATGAAGTGACTTCAAGTTTGGCAAACAATTCAAACATTTGAAAAACAATTGTTTGTTACGTTGACCACATTCCTCGTCAGTCATGAATGTTACCAATTGTTGGCCAAATTGTCGACAAAAACGATCAAATGTATGGCTACTACATAATGTCTGAATATGATTACTGGGCTTAAGATATATGTGTGTCAATCGGTAACAGTATTTCGTTAATAATTCAAACAATTTTTCCCAAATAAATACATTACTTATAGTAACTGTTGTAATGTTTGAACAATTTTTGACAATTGATTCAAACAAATCGATAGTCTTTTTGTAATCCGTAAATGAATTCAAAGATAATCTTATTAATAGTTTGTCATCAAATATGAGATGTGTTTGTGTATTGAATATCAATGCCAACCACTGTTTGGACACCGATTGTAGTCTTAGTCTGTCATCGATTGGCAGATATTGAAGCAATAGTTGACACAAATCATCGCCGAAGCGATCAAACGAGTTCTTCTTCGCTGTCATTACTGTTGTTGTGGTCATTGTCTTCACTGATATTAACTTTCAATGTCTTTCAATAGTCTTGTGTTTTTAAAACATTTTCATTCAATTCAATCAATAATAAGATTATAATATTTATATATATATGTAATAAATTAAATGCTTTTTTAAAAAATAATTAAATGAGAAATCAAATGATAATCCAAAACAAAACTACTAATACTTACATTTGATTTTTAAAAAATCAATTGTTTTAATAATAATTGTATTCAAAAATATAGAATATTATTAATATATTTATCACACAATTATTAGTTTAATTAATTAACTGATGAAATAAAATGAAACAATTATTACAATTAAACAAAAAACTGAAAAATAAAATAACTAATTAGGGATTAGATATGAAAAACTATTGAAAGGGTTTTTTTTGTTTTTTAATTTGAAAACGTTATATTAAAATAATTAATTAACAAATTGTTTTATAATTATATAGTTTAGCAAGTTAATATTATTAAATTTAACATAGTTTTCTAATTGTATTATATTTTAAAAATAAAACTAAAATTTTTTTTATAAGGTTTCAAACAATTAGTTTTTAAAAAAATTAAAAAAAAATATTTTTTTAACATGCATAATCAATTATCGGTTCGGTTAGTTAACAATAAATAATATGTTGTTAATACCCTCTCTATTGTAGATTAATATTATATCATTATTTACTGTAACTATTGGATACAATAAATGCAATAAATATATATTTAAAAAAAATATTAATGCCATCTATTTGTATCATAATTAATATTAAAATTTTTAAAAGTTAATTTCAATTTTTATTTGATTATTAATAAAATATAATACATTTTTCATAATTCAAGGTTAATTCAACAACAAAAATCAATTATATTAAATGTTTAGATTATGACACATTATATATATTTAATTTATATATAATTATACTTTTAAAAAAATTAATTAATAGTTATTAGAAATAATGTTAATTAATAGTTATTATTTATAATAATAATTAAAAAAACTAATCAATAATTAGTTACATATTTTATCATCAAAATAATTATTATATATATATTATTGATTACAAGTTTTTATTAATAAGATCAATAGTAGCATCACTTCTATCATATAATTTTAGGTTTAGTTTTAATAATTTTTAAAAAAAAACTTACGATACATAACTTTTTTTATAATAATTTTATTTTAAGAGATATGTAACTATTGGACTGGGTTTGAGTTGATTATGAGTTTCATGAGTAAACATATCATAAACCCAAACCATATATATCACACATTTTTAAAAATAATTATTTTATTCATTAGTATATTTCCTGAACCGACGCCCACCAAAGTTATAGTCATCGTAATCACAATCACTGTCACTATCACTGTTAGTACTATTAAAATTATGACAGTCTATTGACTGTAGACGCGGATGATTGCGGTAAATATCACGGAAAAACTGGTCACCGATTAGATGCAAATAATTAAACCGAATTGTCAAATGTGTCAATCGATTCAATCGGTTCAACAAATCGCTGGCAAGTCGTATATCAGTGTCCACCAGAGGATAACAATCATTATAACAATGCACTGATAGTCGTCTTAATTGCCGAGTCATATGTTCATTGATTACGGCAAACATACGGACAATTTGTGATATATTTGTCTCCATTAATGGCTTATATTTGAATGCCTTAAGTCGGCAACAATTGCGGCCAATAGTGGCCAACAAATTATCAGCAAATTCTTGGTCGCCGCCAAAGTCGGTCAACACAACGATCTTTAGTTGTATTAATTGTTTCATTTGTTCAAAACCGGTAATCAATGACTTGCGTCTATCGTTTGTATCGTTAAACAAATCGACTAATATGTCTACTGAAGTAATTTGTTGGCCATAAGTATTGGCATAATTGATAAACAATGGCAACGAAGTGTTGTTTAATCTGAAATTCATTGATTGCAATGATTTCGGTAATAAAACTAAACAACATTTATCATTGCCAGTGAATATATGAGACAATCGGATACTATTGATATACCGGTACTGTTGTCCATAATGTTTAATATGAAGTGATTTCAAGTTTATGAAACAATCAATGAATTTATAAAACAATTGTTTGTTTCGTTTAGTTTTGTATTTCTCGGATGTCATCAACCGTTGGCCAAATCGACGACAATTCTGGTCAATAGTGTGGCTATTGTTCAACCATTCGATAGTATTGTTAAGATATAAGTGTCTCAATTGGGAACAGTATTTAATCAATAAGTTTAGCAAATTATCACAAAAATCAATATCACTTATAGTTACTGTTGTAATGTTTGGACACTTTTTGACCAACAATTCAAACAATTTATCGGTAATTATATGTTTTTCATCAGACCATGACTTTGCATACAAAGTACGCAATAGATTCAAATCAAATACCAGTTGTGTTTCAGTTGTTAATATCAATGACTGCCACTGTTTGGACACCGATTGTAGTCTTAGTTTGTCATCGATTGGCAGATATTGAAGCAATAGTTCCGCCAAATCATCGCCGAAGCGATCAAACGACTCCTTTGTCGCAGTCATTGTGTTGTCTTCAGTGATCTTAAGATTCTGGTTGTCAATAGTCTTGTATTTTTAAAAACTTTATCAATCAATCAATTTACTAAAAATAAATAAATAAATACTTTAATAAATATTAATCACATAACATATTGTAAAAGTGATCAAACTATCGATAGTTCAATCAAATCATTTAAAATTTATTTTAATAAAAATTATGTTAAATTTAATGACAACATAATTAATACTTACATTTGTTTTTACAAATCAATTGTTTTAATAATAATTGTATTCAACTAATATATATATATATATATATATATACTGTATATACAGTACATAAATTACAATCAATTAATATTTTTTACAGATACTGTTTAATTATTTACAATTAGTAGATATACTGTACTATTAATTATACTGTATAATATACAGTGTATATAATATTTAATAATTTAAAAATAATTTATAAATATTTTTAACATATGATATAGTAAGCTCCGCCCCTATTGAAAACATTGCTCTAAAATATTAGATTATTAGTACTTTAATTAAATTTATTACATTTTGTTTCAACTTAACAAAAAAAATGATATATATTTCTGATTTTTACTGATAAATTAATTATAATTATAAATATAATAAACATATTTTTTTAAAAAAATACTATTACTGTAATAAATTTATGAAATTTGTATTGAAAATGTATTATCAATGAATAGAGAAAAAAATGTAATGTAATATAATATAATGAGATCATATGATTTTAAAAATATAACAAAATATTTAAATAGTTTAACAAAAAAATAACAAATAATAGTTAAAATTATATTTTATGTCTAAGTTAGCTAATGATATCAACTAAATAGTTAGTTTGCATACACAGTGTTTTTAATTATTGAAAAATATTTTTAAAACTCTTTCAACTCGTCATTACTTTTAATAATTTAAGGCAAAAAAAGTTATCTGAAAAGAAAATCAATGATTTGTTTATATGATTTGGACTCAAATGAGGAAACCGTTTGATTAATTAAACGCCAGTTTTTCATCAATGAGTTAAACGACGAAATGTTTGCAAACTTTTCCTTAATTATGTCCCAATCGATGTCCGACTCGTTGTCAAAGTTGTATTTAAACAAACAATATATGAGTCGTGCGGTATCTTCTGTGTGTCCACTGGTCCTCGCAATTGATCCCATTGTGCTACAGACCAACGAAATGGGTAATACCAGTGTTGGTCGACTGTAAACTCACTCATAGTTTCAACACATTTTTATCGTATTGATTACAATACAAATAAAACAATTTCTTTAATTATCAAAAAATATTTCAAACTCTTTTAAGCCGTCGTCGTCTGGATTGAGATATTGTGGCAAAAGATTGTCGTAAAGAAAATGAATGATTTGTTTATATGATTTCGACTCAAATGAGGGAACCGTTTGTTTAATTAAACGCCAGTTTCTCATCAATGCGTTGAACGACGAAATGTTTGCAAACTTTTCCTTAATTACATCCCAATCGATGTCCGACTCGTCGGTGAAGTCATATCTAATCAAACAATATATGAGTCGTGCGGTGTCTTTGTGTGTCCACTGGTCCTCCAATTGATCCCATTGTGCTACAGACCAACGCAAATGTTTATACCAGCGATTAGCGACTATAAACTCACTCCTATTAATTTCGGCCAACTCTTTGATTTGTTTATACGGAATATTTTTGGTGAACACATGTTGTTTAAGATCATCGGTATTCAGCACTCGTTTCATTGATGACAATAGTCGTCGGTCTTCATCTATAGACCACTTTCCTCTATCATATGGTTCACCATTTTTATCGTAATTCGTGTCATAATATACTTGCAGTGATTGGGGATTACACATAAACTTTTCCGATATCTTTGACCACTTTCTACCGTAAAGTGATAGCAATTGTTTTAATTGGACTTTGATCTCATCCGACAACTCTTTTGGTTGTTTCAATGTATTGAATTTACTTCTCGCGTAATGATATACATCACAAATACTACGGTTAGGCAAACCGTTAGCCAATCTCAACAAAAACTGTGAGCTTCTCATAAAATAACGAAACGATTTCCTCTCCTGTTTAGTATAGTTGTCGCTTAACGCAAAATATCCTAATAAACGTGTTTTAGTATTTTCATCGCATTCGTAATCATCACAAAACTTATCCCAATTTTGTTTCAATATTTTCAATTCATGTTTACTTAACATTCCTTTAATTACTTTTAAATTGTTTTCATTAATAATTTTCTTCTCTTTTTGTCCGATAAAAGCATAGGGAATGAGTCGATGTAATTGTGAATCACTTAATAGTGTGGTATTTGTATTGTCGATACTTTTATCGCAATCACTATAAACACTATTTGTCACAAATTGTGTGTTTAATGCATTGTTTGTAATATTCGCAGTGTTTTTCACACCGTTTTCGACAATTGAATCGTTTTTTGAAACTTTTTTATCATCAAATGTGTCTATCATTTCACAATCATCTGAATTAGTATTATTAAACTTTTCGCAACTTTCACTTAAAGAGTGATTAAATTTAATAATTTTATTAAACTTATTATTATAGCAATCGGTGACAACAAAACCGTTTGCAATACTTTTACCACTTATTAATTGTTTGTCATTTAATTGATAATCAATTAATTGATTCATCAATTTTTTATCATCAAATTTGGGTCTCATTTCAGAATTATTATTATTTTTATTACTTTCACTTAAATTATTTGTATCATTCATATGAATGTCATTATATTTAATAACTTTATTTAACTTATTATTATAACAATCGGTAACAACAAAACCGTATCGTTTATTGTATTGATTTTTATACATTATTTTACTTTTTTTTATTGCAATCACTTATCAAATAAAAATATTAATGTTTTTTTAAAAACAAAACCAAAAAACAAATTATTGACATTTTAAACAAATTTATGAATAATATTAGTTTATTTGTAAAATAACTTTTAAAAAAAAATTAATTAATTAATATATTATTGTTTGTTGTGTTTCACGTGTTGTTTGTGTTTATGTTATATTGACAGACATATCGATGACATCACTGTTTGAATGTGAAAATTATTGCATACATTCAAACATACATTACGTTTGAAATAAAAATATTTTATATTAATTACTGTATAATAGTGTATATTATTAGTAAAAAAATAGGTGTCAATAAAGTTATAGACGTTATTTATATCCATATATTTATAGTGAACTTAAAGTATTCAAACAATAAGTGTGTTTTTTTTAAATTAATTGATTTTTGATGTTTTGTTTTTTTTAAATAATAATTATTTTATTTTAATGTTTCTTTTTTTCTGAATATTTTTACTGATAAACTAATTAAATATTTTAAAAAATAATATTTTAATACTAAATAAAAATAATTTTTTAATTGATTTAAACATTGATTAAATTTATTATTTAATTTAATATCAATGAATAAAACAAAAATTAACATTTAATTAAAATATATATTATATACCGTATACTATATAATGAGATGATATTTTATATAAATAAATAAATAGTTAAATGAATTATTTTTGTAAAATATATATTTAATTTATGTCATCAAAAAAAATATTTAGTTTAAATCTTAATGCAAAACACAAAGTGTTTTAATTACTAAAAAACATTTCAAACTCTTTTAAAGCCATTGTCGTCTGGATTAAGATATTGTGGCAAAAGATTGTCGTAAAAATTTCAATCAATCATTTGTTTCTTATGATTATATAATAAATTATTATAACTAAAAAAATTAATTTTTAATTACATTATATGTTTTATAATGATTTTTAAAAATATAACAAATTAACAAAATAGTTAAATGATATCAAACTAAATAGTTTGGTTTGAAAACTTAATACAAAACACACAGTGTTTTCAATTATTGAAAAACATTTCAAACTCTTTTAAGCCGTCGTCGTCTGGATTGAGATATTGTGGCAAAAGATTATCGTAAAGAAAATCAATGATTTGTTTATATGATTTCGACTCAAACGAGGGAACCGTTTGTTTTATTAAACGCCAGTTTCTCATCAATGCGTTAAACGACGAAATGTTTAAAAACTTTTCCTTAATTACATCCCAATCGATGGCCGATTCGTCGGTGAAGTCATATCTAAACAAACAATATATGAGTTGAGCGGTATCTTTGTGTGTCCACTGGTCCTCCAATTGATCCCATTGTGCTAAAGACCAACGCAACTGTTTATGCCAGCGTTGAGCTACTGAAACCAAACACCTATTGATTTTCGACAAATCCCTGACCAGTTTGAACGGTATATTTTTGGTAAAAACATATTGTTTGAGATCATCGGTATTCAACACTTGTCTCATTGCTGTCAACATTCGTCGGTCTTCATCCAGAGTCCACTTTCCCTTATCATATGGTTCACCATTTGAGTTGTAATAGAAATCATAATATGTTGTCACTGATGACGGTAAGCACATATACTTTTCGGCAATTTTAGCCCATTTTCTACCGTATTGTCGACGCAATTGTAGTATATTATCCATTTCCTCATCTGACAGATCAATCATATGTTTCAATGTATTGAATCTAACCCGTGCTGTCAGATAAATGTTAACAATTGTACGGTTAGGCAAACCGTTGGCCAATCGCAACAAAAACTGTGAGCTTCTCATAAAATTACGAAATGCTTTCCTCTCTTGTTTAGTATAGTTATCGCTGAACGAAAAAAATCCTAATAAACGTGTTTTCATATTTTCATCGCATTCATAGTCATCACAAAATTGTTGCCAATTTTGTGTCAATATTTCCATTTCATATTTACTAAACTTTGTTGTAATTACTATTAGATTATTGTCTTTAATAATTTGTTTTTCTTTTGGTCCGATAAAAGTATAGGGAATTAATACATGTAATGGAGAATCACTAACAAAACATTTATTATCATTATTAGTATTGCAATTACTATAATCACTAGTACTACTAGTGTGATAATACTCATTGGCTGATTGTTTATTGAATTCAATACTAGTTTTATTAATTGCAGTGTTTTTTGTCAAAAAGTTTTCAATACTTTTATCATTCATTACTTTATTGTTATCAAATGTGTCTATCATTTCACAATCATTTAAATTATTATTATTATTACTACTAATTGATTGTTCCGTATATTTACTATTAGTTTGCAAACATTTGTTGTCAATAGTATTATTATTATGATTACTATAATTGTTATGAAACTTTTCACAATTTTCACTTAAAGAGTCATTAAATTCAATAATTTTATTAAATTTATTATTATAGCAATCGGTGACAACAAAACCGTTTGCAATACTTTTACCAATTATTACTTGTTTGTCATTTAATTTATAATCAATTGATTCAATCATCAATTTTTTATCATTAAATTTGGGTCTCATTTCACAATTATTATCTGAATTATTCATATTATTATTACTTTTACTTAAAATTTCACAATTATTTGTATCATTCGTATCATTATATTTAATAACTTTATTTAATTTATTATTATAACAATCGGTAACAACAAAACCGTATCGTTTGTTGTATTGATTTTTATACATTATTTTACTTTTTTTATTGCAATCACTTATCAAATAAAAATATTAATGTATTTAAAAAAAAAATAAAACCAAAAAAAAATTATTTAGATTTTTAACAAATTTATGAATAATATTTCATTCAAAAACATTAGTTTATTGTTACATAACTTTTTAAAAAATTAATTAATTAATTAATATTATTGTTTGTTGTGTTTCACGTGTTGTTTGTGTTTATTATGTTGTATTGACAGACATATCGATGACATCACTGTTTGAATGTTAAAATTATTGCATACATTCACACATACATTACGTTAGAAATAAAAATATTTTATATAAATTACTGTAATTGTGTATATTATTAGTAAAAAAATAGGTGTCAATAAAGTTATAGACGTTATTGATATCCATATATTTATAGTCAACTTAAAGTATACAAACAATAAGTGTGTTTTGAAAGTAAAAATATTTTTTTAGAAACAATTACCGGTAAACTAATTAAATATTTAAAAAATATTTTAATACTAAATAAAAATAATATTAAATTTTTTAATTGATTTAAACATTAATGAAATTTATTATTTAATTTAATATCAATGAATAAAACAAAAATTAATATTTAACATAAATTTAACATTTAATTAAAATATATGATATATAAGATTTTATACCGTATACTATATAATGAGATCATATTTTATATAATTAAATAAATAGTTAATTGAATTAGTTATTAATATACAGTATATTTAATTTATGTCATCAAAAAACAAATATTTAGTTTAAATTTAATGCAAAACAAACAGTGTTTTAATTACAACAAAAAAACAAAACATTTCAAACTCTTTAAAGCCATTGTCTTCAGGATTAAGATATTGTGGCTAAAGATTGTCGTAAAAATTTCAATCAATCATTTGTTTCTTATGATTATATAATAAATTATTATAACTAAAAAAATTAATTTTTAATTACATTATACGTTTTATAATGATTTTTAAAAATATAACAAATTAACAAAATAGTTAAATGATAAAAAAACTAAATAGTTTTGTTTGAAATCTTAATACAAAACACACAGTGTTTTCAATTATTGAAAAACATTTCAAACTCTTTTAAGCCGTCGTCGTCTGGATTGAGATATTGTGGCAAAAGATTGTCGTAAAGAAAATCAATGATTTGTTTATATGATTTCGACTCAAATGTGGGAACCGTTTGCTTAATTAAACGCCAGTTTCTCATCAATGCGTTAAACGACGAAATGTTTGCAAACTTTTCCTTAATTACGTCCCAATCGATAGCCGACTCGTCTGTGAAGTCATATCTAAACAAACAGTATATGAGTTGAGCGGTATCTTTGTGTGTCCACTGGTCCTCCAATTGATCCCATTGTGCTACAGACCAACGCAATCGGTAATACCAATGTTGGGCGACTGTAAACTCACTCCTATTAATTTCGGCCAATTGTTTGATCTGTTTATAGGGAATACGTTTCGTAAATATATGTTGACTGAGATCATCGGTATTCAGCCATTGTTTCATTGCAGCCAATAGTCGCCTATTTTCATCCGGTGTCCACTTTCCCGTATCATATGGTTCACCATTTTTATCGTAATAGGTATCATAATATGTTGTCACTGATGACGGATAGCATTGATATTTTTCGGAAATTTTAGCCCATTTTCTACCGTATAGTCGACGCAATTCAAGTATATTATCTTTTTCATCAGCCGATAGTTCACACATACGTTTCAATGTATTAAACTTAACCCTTGCGGTGATATAGATGTTAACAAGTGTACGGTTAGGCAAACCGTTAGCCAATCTAAACAAAAACTGTGAGTTTCTCATAAAATAACGAAACGATTTCCTCTCCTGTTTACTATAGTTATCGCTGAACGAAAAAAATCCTAATAAACGTGTTTTCATATTTTCATCGCATTCGTAGTCATCACAAAATTGTTGCCAATTTTTTCTCAATATTTCCGTTTCATATTTACTAAACTTTGTTGTAATTACTGTTAAATTATTTTCTTCAATAATTTGTTTTTCTTTTGGTCCGTAAAAAGTATAGGGAATTAATACATGTAATGGAGAATCACTAACAAAACATTTATTATCATTATTAGTATTGCAATTACTATAATCACTAGTACTACTAGTGTGATAATACTCATTGGCTGATTGTTTATTGAATTCAATACTAGTTTTATTAATTGCAGTGTTTTTTGTCATAAAGTTTTTGTCAACACTTTTATCATTCATTATTATATTGTTATCAAATGTGTCTATCATTTCACAATCATTTAAATTATTGTTATTATTATTACTAATTGATTGTTCAGTATATTTACTATTACTTTGCGAACATTTGTTGGCAATTGTGTTATTATTATTATTATTACTATTATTACTATAATTGTTATTAAACTTTTCACAATTTTCACTTAAAGAGTCATTAAATTTAATAATTTTATTAAACTTATTATTATAGCAATCGGTGACAACAAAACCGTTTGCAATACTTTTACCACTTATTACTTGTTTATCATTTAATTGATAATCAATTGATTGATTCATCAATTTTTTATCATTAAATGTGTGTCTGATTTCACAATTATTATCTGAATTATTCATATTATTATTACTTTCACTTAAAATTTCACAATTGTTTGTATTATTCATATGAATGTCATTATATTTAATAACTTTATTTAATTTATTATTATAACAATCGGTAACAACAAAACCGTATCGTTTGTTGTATTGATTTTTATACATTGTTTTACTTTATTTTTATTGCAATCACTTATCAAATAAAAATATTAATGTATTTTTAAAAACAAAACTAAAAAAACAAATTATTGACATTTTACACAAATTTATGAATAATATTTCAATCATTTAAACATTAATTTACTGTAAAATAACTTTAAATAAAAGTTAATTAATTAATATATTATTGTTTGTTGTGTTTCACGTGTTGTTTGTGTTTATGTTGTATTGACAGACATATCGATGACATCACTGTTTGAATGTGAAAATTATTGCATACATTCATACATACATTACGTTTGAAATAAAATATATAAAAATTTTTTTTAACATTAATTACTGTATAAATATTGTATATTATTAGTTAGCGCTTAAATAATATTAATTTAGTTTTAAAAATATTTTAAACTATTGAAAATTTTTTTGTTTGTTAATTATAAACAAACAATAAGTGTTAAAAGTTTTAAAAATATAAATGTTTTTTTTAATCAAAAAGAATATTAATTAATTTTTTAAAATTGTTTTGTTTTTTAAAAAATTAATTATTTTATTTGAATAAATAACAAGTGATTTATTATTTAATTTTTAATAAATAGAGAAATTAATAAATTACATAATCTGAATTATATATATATATTTAAATTTTTATGTTTATAAAAATAGATATATAATGAAAATATACGAAAGTATGTAAATTTTTAAGTGTCTAGACTTTTATCATAAATTCAAAAAATACACACAAAAAACATAATGATATATAAAATTATATTACATTTTTGTTTTATTAAATTAATTATAAATATAAATTTTTTAATTTCAATAAAAATATAAAAAAATTAAAGTAATAAATACATTTATTATTTTAGTTTTTATTATTAAATTGATTTTTTTAGTTATATTATATTTAGTTATATATCATTATTTTATATTGTAACTAAAAAATAAATGTAACATTAAAAACTAAAATAATAAACATATTGAATACTTTAAATTTTTATTGCAATTAAAAAATTTATATTTATATTTAATTTAATTTAATTTAAAAAATGTAATATAATCTTATATTAATTAACTTTAATTATAATAATTGACTAAAAGTGACCAGAATTGTTAATATTGATAATATTATATTTATAATAAACTTTTACTATTAATTGGCAAAAAAGCTGCAAATAATTATGGAATCTATACGTTTATAGGCAGAACTTGGGAATATGGGACATGCTTATCTGATAGCTAAGGTCATAGGGAGTACACATACAAAATTTCAATGATTGCAAAGGTTTATAGTATTATACTTAAATAATAGGATTAAATACTTAAGTAAATAGAAAATAGTATAAATATAGTAAATAAATAGTAAATAGGAAGTAAATTTACAAATATAATACATATATAAAGGTTTGAATTTTTATTAATTATTTATTTCAAAAATGAATTTATTTAAATTATCAACAGAAGTGTTGATCAGTAAAGAGAAATGCAAGTAATGGCTCAATCGTAAAGAACTTTTAGTCATTCCCGATAGTAAGCTTGTCCTCAATGTAATCGGGAAATGACTTTTGAAGATGACTAAGATGGGGACGATGTCGTTGCCGTAGGTCACACTCAAAATCTGGTAAATCTGTTGAAATATCAGTCGCTAAAGGGGCTTTTTTAAAAAGTTTTGAATCATGAGTTAGTGGTAGAGCCAAGTAAACAGATTCTGTTAATGATGACGGCACAATTGGCATCACTTGCGATAAATTAGCCAAATGAATGTTAAACAATATAAAATTTCCATTACTGTATTAGTATTTAATTATATATACATTTAAAATCAACAATGTATTCAACAATCAATTAATCATTACCTGAATTGTTATAATCTTTATTGAAATCGGTGGCAATGTAATAATATAATGTTGTCTTATGTCTTGGGAATCATTAATCGGAGGCACCATATCAATTCAAGAACACTGAGAAAACAGAGAGAAAAATGTGTTTAAAAAGATGTCAGTTATTTAAATGACAAAAATATATTTTTAATTGAAATGTCTTTTTTAATATTGACATTTTTAATGTTAGGGGCAAAATAGACAACATTTGTCATTCTATAATTGAACATTAATATATTTATTTAAATATATATGTAATATATAAAATAAATAAATATAATGATAAAAATCGATAATAGTAAATTAATATGATAATTAAAATAGAATTAAAAATGATTATTTCATTTTTAATATGTAATTTTTTTAGATTAATATGACAAAAATATAATAATAAATATATTTATGTACAATTTTTAAATTACAAAAGTATTGTATTTATATAATATATGTAATAATATATATGAATAAAAAATTAACAATATCAGACCTAATTAGCAAGAAATAATTATTAAAATAAAAAAAAATATAGAATCAATTATTAAATCGATTGGCCATTAAATTTCATTAAATTAAATTTCATTAAATTAAATTTTATTAAATTTCATTAAATTAAATTTTATTAAATTTCATTAAATTAAATTTTATTAAATTTCATTAAATTAAGCTTAATTTTAAAATTTAACTTTTTCAAATTTAATGAAATTAAATTTAGTTATATTTAATGAAATTTATAGTACAGTATATTACAGTATATACATATATTATAGTATAGTTAGTAAACATTACTTAGGATTATAATATATTTTTGAATGATTTATTTCCGTATATAAAATATATAAATACTTTGTCAGTCAGTCAGTCAGTCAATCAGTCAGTCAGTCAGTCATTCATTCATTCATTCATTCATTCATTCATTTATTAAATTATGGCTTATAATTTATTTCGTTTAGGTCAGTTGTTAACCAACAAAGATAGGACATACAACTTTCTACGAGATAATGAGTTGTTTCCCCGTCCGACACCAACACCGATATGTGGATTCAACCAAAGTCATGGTGAATGCACACCAGACTTCAGTGGTGATCGGGACGGAAGATGGAGGTGTCAACGAGCCCATAAAGGTAGGAATATGGGTAAAGAGTACTATAAATCAATGGCTGACAATACATGGATTGCTCACACAAAATTTGAAAAAGAAGTCAATCCATTAAAGGTATTCAATTTAAATTTGCAAAAAAACAATACATTAGTAAATCATTTTTAACTGTTTATAGGTTATTTTGTTAACATTGTTTTGCAAATAAGTTAACATATGAAGACGCGATTAGAGAAACATCTCTCTTAATCGGTGAGAGTGAGTACAACATCACCATGGTACAGTATGTGATTGGTATCAGTACTGTCGGGAGGTCATATTTGCCGCACACGACGCCAACATAGCCGAGGGCAAATTGGGTGGTAATGACAGTGATGGCAACGATGTTATTGTTGAAATCGATGAGTCAAAGGTTGGTCATCGAAAATATGATGTCGGAAGGATTCGGGAGGGTTACTGGATCCTTGGATTAGTCGAAAGAGGCACCAATAGGAGTCGATTGATCCATTGCCCTGACAACAAAAGAGATTCAGCAACTTTAATTCCAATCATAAAATCCAACGTCGAACCGGGATCTGTTTTATATACAGATATGTGGAAAGGCTACACCCATTTGACAGATAATGGATTTGTTCATAAGACTGTCAACCACTCGACAAACTTTGTTAACCCCGAGGATCCGGATGTTCACACACAAACCATTGAAGGTTTATGGAAACACATGAAAAGTCATTTGGAAAGGTCGGGTGGTCGCCGTAGTGAACACATGGATCTCTATTTGATTGAATTTATATGGAGAAAACGTGTTCATCAAGCGAGACGGCCATATTTTGAGTCACTTTTGACTGAAATTAAGGCGGTCTATTCTGGACCACTTAAAAAATAATTGATTTATTATTTTTCATGAATAAATAATTGAAATTAAAAATTTGTGTAATTTTTTATGTTAAGTAATACCCTTATAATTAGGTTTAGGTTGCGGATCGAACACCAGGTTAGGTAACGCTGCCGAACGCCAATACATTACAATGTTTTTTTTAAATAATTTTTTTTATTTTAAAAGCTATGTAGCTGGGACCTTCAGATATGAGTTCCTTATATCATAACCAGGGTTTTAAAAATGGAAGGCATAAACAATAGATGCCAATTTTGCCAAATGCCTGCCCTGCCTCTGCCATGCCCGGGGCATCTATTTTCAGGTGGTGACACCTATTATTTTAAGTTTATATTATTAATTAATTTATAAAACATTGTTTTTATAATATATTTGCTTGTATTTTTGTTTTGAATACCTTTAATTAAAAGGTAATATCATTGGAAATAAGTAAATTAATTGTAAATTTAATTAACACGTTAAAACACTAAATTACTTTATTTTTATAATTATAAATACAGTTGCTTTTTAGCAATTTAAATTGGCAGGCAAATAAAATAGATGCCCAAAATGCCAGGCATTTATGGCATCTATTTGGGCATTGCCAGGGCAGGCATTTATTTTCTTAAAACCCTGATTATAA